CTGAAGTGGGAATCTCACTCAAAATAAGGAAAAGTAGCAGTATTTTCACTCGAAGAGCGATAGTGAAAATACTGCCACCCGGAAGCGCAAGAGTGAATGTTTCACTTAAGCTTAGAGTGCACTTTAACTTCATACGAACGAATGTTTCAATCGATTGCAGTGAATATATTCCTGTGACGGTGGAATACATCATATTCACTGTTCAATTTCGAGGGAAAATATTCACCCGAATATCGGAATGGAGGATTTACTTTATGTGAGTGAAAAAGCGCTGGACACTCCACTTTTTGAGTGAAATTCCGCGTTACAAGAAATTTCGAGAGTAATAATATGGTAATAATAATAGAAGAATTTCCCACGGTATTCATGATAGTTAAATGACCATATCTCCTATTATTTAAATGTCTCATTAAAAGTTAAATAATAAAAATTTCTTCCAGAGGAATTCAGGCCGAAAGTATTCGGAAACTTTCAATTAACATTTTAAAGTTCAGGTATATCGATTCGGTTCGAGTAAAATTTTTTTCTTCACAAATTAATTTTAAATAACGGTTTGGATGAAAAGTTTTGTAGTCGAAATAAAAGTGACCGTCGAAAAGTACGATTTTCGGCATGTATATAATTATGTACATTTATGTTTGTATGTGTGTCTCAGTCTTAGTCTCAGAATTAATTAATAAGTTTTGTAATGAAAGAACTATAATAACATAAAAGAACATAAAATCACCAACCGTATACGTCAAGTTAACATTGATAAAACATTAAGAAAGTACAAATCTGCGTACTATTTTTCGCGAAAAACTACATAATTTTAGGCGTCAGCGATTCTGCTCTGCACAGAATCGCCATATTATCGGTTTTTCAGCGGGAAAATTGTTTTATAATTCGGGACGAGGAATATAACTCCATCTAGAATGGACTGACTCGTATTATATCGATGGAATCATTACTTTGTCGATACGAAAAATTTGGAGAGGAAAATAAATGTACAATGAGTTGCAAAACTATTTAGACACAATGAAGCTGGAAGCTCACTAAACTGTCTTAATTGAGAATCATGGACGAACGCAATAATAATATATTTACGCAGTAATAGTATAATTATGCAATTATTATATAATTAATATAATTAATAATTAATAACAATAATCGAGTGCACTAAATAATATTAAATAATAATACAAATAATTAATAATATAAGCACTGAGTAAATCCGTCCGTAATAACTCTCCCAATTCATTATGTGTGTCTAAACCGTATGGAACCCGCAGAGTGCACATAATTATGCATATCGGGTCTTAAAGGGTGAAATTCGCCGTAAATTATTATGCTGGCGCGGATTGAAATCGCGCGCTAGACATTCGCGATCCTGGCTCTTGTCGACTGCCGTCGTTCACGTCGAGAAATCATCGGTTCCTCGAGTCGTCGTACTTCTCGAATCGCGCCTACATTCCACCGCCCATGCGGAAACGCCGCACTTGTCGCGTCCGAGTACGTATACGCGAACTCGACATACGTTACTGGTTACGTTACGGGCCCAGCGAGGCGAACGCGCCGCGATCTGGTTATTCTAGTTAACATCACCGTTGCATGAAGTTCCTTTCGCCTGTGTTGCACGGTCTTGCGCAGCGTGACTCCTCTCTCGCGTCTTCGCGGACACTGCTGACGCTCGGGACGCGTTGGCGAAATCACGAGATGCGCGGAAATGTCGCACGGAGGTGTCTTGTGTCACCGATTTTTCGCGCGCATTTCAGAACAGCGAAAGACGAGCGAAAGAGGAGACGTCCAGCCACTGGAAGAGGCCTACTCGCAAAAACGCGCACCGCGCGCTATTCTCGGGAGAAGAAGGAAGAGGAGTGTGCGAGAGTATGCAACCGAGGAAGGGAACCTGCGGACACGCATGCACACACGCACAGGCGGACGATGAAACACGCCCGCCCTTCTTTGAGCCTAACCGCTCTAGACATTCCATCGAGATGACTCTGGGGACCCCACTTTGTGCGCGGGTGTGTTGTTCCCACACGCATTCAAGTCCCGCGGAGACGACCGGCATGAGAGGAGGCAAAGAGGAGGAGGCTGAGGTGCACCGCCGACGTCAGAGAGCGGACATTGTGTGTGGGACCGGCGGACATATAAGGGCAAGCGCGGACCTCCGCGCGAGGAAGGACAGCTCCTTGTAGGGTATCCTGCGGGATCGAGATCTCTCGTGAGTGCAGGGTGCGACGCGATGCACGACACGATGCGACGTGATGGTACGCGACGACATATCGCCACCGATGCAACGGGAATGGCAAGGTCTTTTTGGCAGGAGCCGTCGCGTCCAGGGTGATTTCGAATTTACATCAGGGGGGAAGTCATCGGGAATGTGCGTTTAAACGAAGACAAACCCTTTCTCTCATCTCTGAACGTTATCCAGCGGACAGATTCAACGCTCCAATCGACCGTGCTGTCATACTCATTCCACCGAATTGATGTCGGCGACAGATGTTGAACCGCGCACCGGGGGCAGATATAGCGCCTACAGCGGCCGCTGCGGCGGCGGTGAAGAGCCAGACGAACCAAGTGGCAGTCAGCTGATTTTGACAGATTCCGTTTCAGTGAGCGGGGAGACGCAGAAGATCGCCCTCCACGAGCACGACGGGCCGCCGTCTGCGCCCCATTGTGATTTCCTGCGACGCAGGGTTTCCCAAATTATAGCTGGCGAGTATTTTGCAATCGCTCCCGAGTCGAAGTTACAGATAAATCCGGGAAACTCACCACTCACGTTAATTCAAACATGAAACATATCTACCGGCATAATGAAAGAAAAAATATCTAAGAAACAGAAATATATTTATTCGACGAGGACGTATTCACTTACATTACAAAATATAAAATATCTTTTAGATAAGAAAACGCCCATTTTCTTAAATCTTAACTTTTCACGAAAGCTTATTCTATTTAAATAAAAGAATTTGAAATAAATATGTTATTAGTATTCATAGTGAATAAATATTCTTGATTTCTTAGATATTTTTTCTCTCAGTGCAGAATAGCTTTAACACACAGTACAATTAAATTACTAGAGTCTTTTAATCATAATACATTTGTTTCCGAATACTAATGTCGCAATGACGGATTATCAATTTGACACATCCTCCTTCTTTGAATAGTTAATAAATAATGAATAAAAAAATACATACAGTTATAAAATCTTAATAAAAGCTAGTACTGCGTGTTAGGACTATTTGATTAGTATACGTGAATGGCTACGCGAAGTAATTAGAGTTTCAATGTTAATATTGTGGTGTGACTCGCTTCACATGCCGCTAAGATACATATGTCATAAATTAAGTGACACTCAATGAGACGCAAATGATGTTTCATCCGTATGTTCAAATTTGCTCGAAAACATCAATAATTCTTTTTAGACCGATTACATATCTGACGTTTGGGAAACCCTGCTGCAATTGCGTTTACACAATCGATCGATGGGGAGCGCAGTTCCCGTTGTATTGCGCGCCTTTTCAGATCGCGGATATATTAATTCGAGAAGCCAGCTGTCGCAGTCAGGCCAATAAAATGCTATTCAAATGCGCCGCACGGAAGAATTATAGTCGTAAGGGCGTATTCATGCGTTCGTTCAACCCCTTGTACAGAATTTTCTCCTCGTGGGTGTAAAGAAACTGCGTTTAAATACCCGTAAACAAACCCTTCATGACTATGTATTGTAATCGCATTTGTTCCTCTGATATCTGCATTTTTACTCTCTAAATTTCATGAAATTTTTATTTCGAATTTTCATGAAATATTTAACTCGAAAATTCACCCGATACGATCGTGAAAATACCGTCATTCGGAACAGAAATAAATGTTTTAACTAAAAAACTACAAAGTATTTAAAATATTTAAAATAAAGTATTTAAAATATTTAAAATACAAAATATTTAAAATCAGAGGAAATGTAATATATGTTCTAATGTATATTATCCAAAAGAATAAGAAATTTCTCTTCATAAAAAATATAATCTCACTCTTAACGGAATCATCTTTTATATATATGTGTGTATGTGTGTGTGTGTGTATGTGTGTGTGTGTATGGCTGTGAGAAGATTCTTCTAAAATCAAAAGGAAAAAATTCTAACATTCAAAATAAGAAGTCTGGTTGCAAAAGTTGCTATTTCCTGTAATCTCATATTCCAAACGAAAATTTTTACCGAAATAGTGTTCCTCGTCTAACGAAATGAATTAATATTTACTAGACATTATTAATTAGCTTCTTTCCATCTTTCCGTTTGAATTAAGAGTATTTATCTGAAGCTCTTTTACTGAAATTTTTATTAAGAACAAGACTTGTAGACAAAGACGAAATTCCCCTAACTTTGACATTGATATTATATTTGGAATATTTTCCTTTCAGTTAAAAAAAATCCTCTCGATGCCACATATAAAAAGATTTCACTAAAGATAAGATTATACTTTTTTGGGTAAATTTCTTGGAGTGAAAGCTCATTCAAAACGAGTAAAAATATAGAAGAAGAAAAAGAAGTATGAATATTTCAATCACTTGAGTGAATTTGTTCCACTGAAGGCAGAGTATGTCAGATTCACTTTTCAATTTCGGACGGAAATATTTACTCGACGATTGGAAGTGGAGAAGTACACTCTATATGATTGAAAAGTCACTCCGCTTCGATCGACTCGGCTGTCACTCTACTTTTCGAGCAGAACTTCATGCACGAAGAAATTTCGACAGCACGGTCACTCGGGAGATCTTTCTCTTTTCGTTTTTAGCTACTATGGTATTCACAAACGTGCGACGATACATGAATCATTCGGCCTCGAGTTCTCCTCGCAGCTCGGATAATCGGATAAAACGGACGAAGTCGGAATAAATACTGCCGGTTGTCGCAGGGAGGCCAATCACACACGGCAATACGAAACGTGGTGTGTGCCGCAACGTCGAGCCCACTGCCTTCCGCATGCTATTTAAGAATAGGTTCACATTACAAATAACTCACCCTATTAGGCTGTACGTGCCAGCTACGCCTCTTCCCGTGTCTCTGCACGCCGTCCTCTGAAATGGTTAGGTCGGCTCTGCTGCCAACCAAACAGCCCCCCGTATCGTATTGGCCAACCAGAAGCCTCAATCGATTTCCTGGACAGATGCCCTACAGCAGAAAAAAAAAATAATAATGTAATAACGGCTCGATTGTGTGCCGGCTCGACGCGTGAGTAAATTTTTCATCCCACATGCCTCGCCGTCGGTTTTTCTCTCTCCAGCAGAGCTCGACGCACTTTGTCAATGTTCATGATTGACTTTCCCTGTCTTCCAACGCGCTTTTTGCATCCGCTCGCTCGTCGTTCTCACACTCAACTACTTTTTCCCCGCGAGAAAAAAGCATGAACTCACGTGTCACGGAAGGATGCGAGCGAGGGGCAGCTCCAATTAAACGTCTGCGGAACTCGCACCGCGTCTAATTCCGTAAGATCCAGCTGAAAATAACACCGCACCCTTCCCTGTTGTGTCCTGAGAAACGAACGGCGCCGCGAAATGGATGCACACCGTGTAACTCATACGTTTACCTCGCGGCACGCAACGTCTCAAGTGTGTTACAAAGTTGTAACTCATAAATCTCAAGATGCTATGAGCCTTTCGTGCGCGCTCTCCGTGGAATAACGATACCGAGATTGTCAACACTGTCACGTTCACGTGGACGGAGATCCCGGGTTCACCTTTTAACGTTTTCCAAGAGGCTTCTCGTAAATCGCGTGTTAAATTCGCGCGCAACATGATCAGCGCTACGCCCCACCGCGCAATATACACTCTCTAAATTTCTTCTCTAAATTGAGAAAAAATTATTTGATATTCGTATACTATAATCACATATAGAAATAATTACTATAAATTATGGTCAAGAAAGCTGTTCTTGATTAAATGCTACTGTAATAACCTCATATGTATGTTACTACTGCCATTTTCATGTCTGAGCAACCAAATATGATTGAAGTCAAAAATCGCACCAGTCTTCTAAATCGTAATATACTTTTTTCAAATATTTGTAGCACACACAAAATAAAGTATAAACTGAAAATTTCCTGCTTATATTTCTCATTGTTCATTTATATCTCATTTTTACTGTTAAATGTCATTCATATTTAATAATAATAAATTGATGTAATACGATTTAGGTACTCTCTATTTCGGGAATTCCAATCTACATTCAGAAAATTGTATTTCTCGACTGCCAACTATATTCGGTCAATCACAAAACTCTTCGTCAAGAGTAACTTTTTAAGACTATTTTATGAAGAAAAAAATTTTACTCGAATAGAATCGATGCCTGGGCCTTAAAGTGTTAAAATCGATATTTTCTATTAATTTGTTTATCCTTGGAAACACAAACATAATCTGTGCATTCATAGAGGTGACACTTCTAAAGTATCCGAGAGACGAGTACATCCGCTCAGATAAATTGAACGTTTTCCACTCGGTTAAAAAAGCAATCAGGTCGCGCTATCGGAAGAAGTGACGTGAATCTTCCGGACTACTTAACAGATTTATACCGATACATTCATAAATAATTCCAAAGAGATAGGCAATCGCCTCGTTCATCACGAGGAAACGCGTTTCATGAATTATAAATGCGCAGGCACGACGCCTGTTTAAAACAAAAGCAAACAAGGGTGTCTAGTTAGTAATATATATATGTATATTTATGATCGCACAGAGATGAGACTCCCAGATCGAAAGCAACTACGACGCTGACGATGCACGATCGTTAGTCCCATTTCCGTGATAATAACCGCCTCGTTATCCTTCGGAAATTCCCCGAGCCGCTTCGGTGCATCGACTCTTACGTGCATCACGAAGACGCCGCGCTCGAGTAATCGGATGTTCTTACTCTCGTGGAGCTGCTCGCGCGGGATTCGTCGGTACTTTGTAATTTATAGGAATGATTAAAAATAATTAATTACCTGTCGTCCTCGCAAAGCGCATAGCCACCATCCCTCGAGACCGGCGGTATTCTGCTCCAACACGGTGAGCACGTCGCCCTTGCGGAAAGCTAATTCGTCAGGCGCCTCGGCGATATTGTCGTACAGAGCTCGTGCTTTCACGCATTTTTGCTGTAACACGATAAGAAAAGAAATCACGAGATTAAAACGATGGAGATGCTTTGTACGCAAGTTCATAGGTACATTCTAAAATGTTATTATTATTTTATTGTTACTCTTCAAAGGAGGAGTGTCAGCAAGGTCCTTCTCTCAAATTCTTTGAAAATTATATTGGTCTAATTGTTTAAAGGCTTTAGATGGTTTGTAGACATAAATTAAAGGATTTCACTGAAATTTTTTTACAAAGAAATTATAAGATATGTATTTAGATACGTTAGAACTGCTCCGTATGCTTTTGTTAAACTTTAAGAAAATTACATGATTTTTTTCATTACTGAAATTGCATATTAGTTGAGCTATAAGGCGCAGTAAAATATACTGAAAAGTTCCAAAATGTGTGTCATAATTTCTTTGTGAAAAAATTCCAAATAAACTCCTTTGATTCATGACTACAAACTATCCAGAGCTTTTCAATTCCCGATGAAAAGATTTTAGAGAAAAATCACCTTTTTTTGACAACTTTTTTTTGCTTTGCTGCCACAGAATGCATTAATCATATTTTGCTCTTATCACATAATCTATATAATATCATGGTTCCTTCTGTTTGTAAGTATTATAAATTCGCCAGATATTTAAGAAAATAAATAAAAATATCCAAAACATATTTTTAATATATAAAATATATATTTTTTAGAAAAAAAAAATTTTTTTGAAATGTATTTTGAAATATATTTTGATTTTTTTTATATAGTTTTGTATTAATATCCATTTTCTTTTATCATAAAATTAATTATTAACTATAACATAATAAAGAAATCATTTTCTAATGCACTCAGAGCTTGAATTAGCAGCTAATATGATTTTCAAGAAATTTTGGCGTAGATAGGTAAACTACCCTGTTGAGACTTCTTTTTTCGAATAATTTTCCACGTATATAAAACGAATATTCCACTCCGAATCGTCAAGTGAATATTTTCATTCGAAACTAAAGAGTGAATTTGATGGATTCTATCAACGTAGGGATAAATTCACTCTAACTGACTGAACCATCCACTCTTGTGATTCCGAGCGGCGATATTTTCACGATCCCTTCGAGTGAATTTTCGTTCGTTTTGTGTGGAGATTTCGCTTCACAAATTTCGAGAGTGCTACATCTCCTATTTTATTCCAATAGATTTACTCAGAGTCACATAAATTAGCTCGACACTTTCTGCAACGGATGTGCGATACACACACATACACACATATACACACGCACACATGCACCACAGACAGACGACCGGTCGTGTATCGGTGCCGCAGAAGGCAATTGGTTTCATTCGAAAAGTCAATGAGCCGGTTTCCACGCGCGCGCCAATTGGGCACGCAGCAGTAGCATCAGTAACGGCGGCAGCAATGCAGCTCTCGCCGCCCTTTGGCCAATTTAAATCCATAAAATCCTAGCACCACGCGTCGCACCATCCCTCGTCCATCTGTCGCGTCTATTTCGAGATACGGCGAGCGGACGAGCCGACAAGCCGACGTCTCCTCTGCCGTTCCGCCGGCAGGAGACGTAACGATCACTTAAACGTCCACCACGTCCCGAAGTGCAGTGTACGATAGATGCGTTTTACGAGGAAGTTGCGGCCGGACGGCCCCGCATCCACCCTCTCAAGTGAGTTCAATTGAAGCGCCTCCGACGACACGGCGACGGCGACGGCGACGGCGGCGACGACGACGACGGCGACCGTTCCCTTTACACGCGCAGTTTTTTTTCCCACTCCTCTTCCTCTTCACTCTTTTCCTTTTTATCTCGCGCCACCATCGCCGTTGGCAAACAGTGATGTCATATGCGCGATCTTCGACGAAGTTCCGGCGACGGCGCCGCGTCTCGGAATTTAATCATCGCGATCATTAGCGGTGTGTGTGTGTCACGTGTATGTTGCTAAATATAATTGCACGCGCTACTACGAAAACATAGTGTGAAAAATCGAATTTTAACTTCGTACTTTGTTGTTTTCCCAATCCGATACGTCAGGTGGCGCCTGAACAACAACGGAAACGTCGTCGTCTATCTCGAAAAGATAGTTTTATACTGAGGAGGAACGCTTGAAAATTTATTTATGGAATAGTCTTTTCACAAATAAATTTACAAGTATTTTTTTCAGTGTAATATAGACTTATTACTTCAGCTTACACATGTCAAGAAAAGGACTTGATTTACATTTTTGTATCTTAATTACACTCATTTATTCATATCCTTGTTTCGTAATAAATAAATGTCTAAGTATCACAGCTATTATATGTTGCTTCCCATTTTTCCTAACACATTATCTTATATTTCCACTCTATTTTCCTTTATATTCTATGCTATCTTCCCTATATATTATAACTTTTCGCTCTTATCATACCCTTTCTTACATTCCTTTAAAACTATCTTTTACTTCCTATTCATACATTTCTCCACACTATTTCTTCAACGTCTTATCTCTTTCTTTTCAAAACTTCCTCAATATTTTACCTACTTCACTTCCAACTCATTGTCCCATATCCTTTTTCATTTTCCTTCTCTATCCTTATCTAAAATCACACTTTTTATGACACTATGGCACTTTTCCATGTAATGCCTCATATTACATATTCTGTTCTTTCCTACAAAATACATATCTACTTGGGTGAACTTGGCACACAATATTCAAAAATGTGACATTTTTTTTAGAGTTCTTGCACTTTCTTGAAAAGTTCTAGAGCTCTATGCAACAATTTTAAATAGTTCCGGTCATTAAATACAAAAAAATAGACTTTCAAAAAAAGGTGCGCTATGTTCACGCAGCGCACCTAATCAGTAAAATTAACTATATTTTTAGAGTTCCGGTTTGTTTTACAATAGTTCTAGAGTTCTATATCATATATACCAATAGTTCTAAAGAAATAGTTGATTTTACTGATTAGGTACGCTGCGAGAACTTAGCGCACCTTTTTTTAAAAGTCTATTTTTTTGTATTTAATGACCGGAACTATTTAAAATTGTTGCATAGAGCTCTAGAACTTTTCAAGAGAGTGCAAGAACTCTAAAAAAAATGTCACATTTTTAAATATGGTGTGCCAAGTTCGCACAAGTCACATATCTTCTTATTCTCTCCAACATTTAATCGTTAATTTCTTCCATATTTAACTAAAGCTCTTACTTTATTCTTTATTTCGCTTAGATTACTACCTAGACCCTCATCCTTATTTCTATGTTTCTATACATTTTATTATCTCCTTATCCACAATCTTGCTTTAATTCTTAAGCCGTAAGAAATTGACCAACCACAGTTCATTATTTTTAAAATCATCGACTGTGGTTGGTCAATTTATTACGTCTTAAAGATTAAAGCAAGATTGTGGACAAGAGATATATCTTGCTACTAGAATTTTATTCTCCTCTCATTCTGTATATCTCGTTCCCTTATTATATCTACTTCCAACTTTGTTGCTTCATCTCTCAATTGTATAACTGCTTCCTTTGTTCCATTCATTTCTATTGTAGTATCTCTTTCTTTTCCTTCTAGTTCTTTTCCTCCCAGCAATTTCTTAATATACATTCTTCCTCTCTTGTCAATAACCTCGTTACTCTAATTCCTTGTACAACTCTTAAATCTATCCATGCCCATATTTCTGTTTTTTAGCGCAGAGAGGAAGGATCGTCTACACGCGTCGCGTCGTGCTTTGAAAGTAGCATTTGCTGTCTGGTGAGTGAATCGACAGCTAATTTAGTCTGTTCGATTTCGAGAGCCGGGACAAACTTGTGTCCGCACAGACCCCGTGTACCACGTCTATTTGTATTGACGTTTCAAGTTCATTGTACGTGGACAGATCGGATCGACGTTATTTTCGGAGTGGTCAGGTCGCCGTGAACCTTGCGTGAGCCCATCAAGAATGCAGCTCGCTGCCATAAAAGGACGCTCGTCTGTCGCGAACGTTAAGCCAGACGCGCAGGTACATATACTTACGACCTTTTCACTGACAGGTTCCTAAGGTACAGTTGCGGCCGAAGCGATCGAAGACTATGTTACGAGCCTCCTTATATATTAACACACATACTGTTCGGCATATTATATAATAATAATATTTTTCCGCGGAAAATTTGCCCCACGTTAATGTCTCGCGATTTATCCACGTGGATACACTCAAACAGCGACGTAAATTGTTCTCGAGGGTGACGCTTCTCTCGCAGCTGGCGAGAGCCTGATGTAACGACTTAACGAAGTTATTTCGGAGCGCAACGTGAGAAACGCGATTAATTGTTTTCGTCACGCGTCTTCCCCGGGTCGTTTCATCGGACGAGTTAAAATCCCGCTGTCTCTCAAGAGCAATCGCTCGATAATTCACGTACGAGTAACTCGATTCATCGAGCCGTTTTGTCGAGGAAGGGGCACGCTGCGCTGTTCGCGCCGCTTTCTCTGCATAATCCCATTGATAAGGATAATCGCATCCATTCGAGCGGAACGAAACGGGCCGAGAGGATCGAAACTCCATCGAATTATAGCCGCTGCCGCGCGACTCTATATTTATTTGCCGCGGGATTTCGATCTCATAATTGAGACGTTTAATGTGAATTTACGTTCCCATCCGCTCTTTCATCCGAAATATATCCTGTTAAAAAGAGCAAAACAGAAAGAAGAGAGAGAAATGGGATAATTATACAAAGGCGTAAATGATGGTACGAACGGAAACTCATCGATCGCCCTTCACAGGGTAGGTTGAATTTTTTCAAGCGGTTCTCGACGGTGGTCTGTTTTGAAATTTAAATTACAGAAGATATTCACCGGTGTACTCACCCTTCTCTCTCTCTCTCTCTCTCTCTCTCTCTCTCTTTTTCTCTCTCTCTCTTTTCCCCTCTCGCCTTTCCCTCCCTTGCACACAACGTCATCCAAACACGTGCTGCTCGAGAGAGGCAAGTAGCCTTATATAAATACCGCGTGCGACGGAGCGTGTTTCGCGGAGGGTTAGAGAACTGCTTTTGTCGACACGTGCCGTTTCAGGAGGCA